CCCATGCCACCATCTCAACATCTGTGCCCATGACTAAAGCAGCCGGATCTCATGCCCCAACAATTGCAACAGCTGCTACAAGTACTGCAAACATCATTTCAGCTTCTGCACCATCATCATCATCCCTTAGTCACACTACATCAACAAGTTCTTCATCCTTGCCTCCATCAAAAACAAGTGAATCCCTAACCCATGCCACCATCTCAACATCTGTGCCCATGACTAAAGCAGCCGGATCTCATGCCCCAACAATTGCAACAGCTGCTACAAGTACTGCAAACATCATTTCAGCTTCTGCACCATCATCATCATCATCATCCATCAAAGTGACAATGCCTCCATCAAAAACAAGTGAATACCTAACTCATGTCACTCTATCAACATCTGTGCCTAAAACTTCAGCAGTTGGATCTCTTACCTCAACAACTGCAACAGCTGCTACAAGTACTGCAAACATTTTCCCAGTCTCTGCATCATCTTTATCCCCTACTCAAACTGCTTCAACCTCTTCAGCCTTTCCTCCATCAAAGAAAAGTGAATACTCAGCCCATTCCATCGTCTCAACATCTGTGTCTGAAATTACAGCAGCTGGATCTAATACATCATCCACACTTGCAACAGCTGCTAAAAGTACTTCAAACATTTTCCCAGTATCTGCATCATCATCATCATCTTCATCTCCTACTCAAACTGCACCAACAAGCTCTTCAGTCTCTCCTGCAGCACGGGCAAGTCAATCCCTAACACATACCACGTTCTTGACATCTGTGTCTGAAATACCAGATCCTGGATCTATTACAACATCAACAACATCTATAACAGCAGCTAAAAGTACTGAAAACATTTTTCCATTTTCTTCAGCCACACCTCCATCAATGACAAGTGAATCCCTAACCCAGGCTACTGTTTTGCCGTCTATATATATAACTCCAGCAGCTGGATCACACACAACATCGACATCTGCAACATTTGGTACTGGTACAACACTCATTATCCCTTCAATTTCTGCATCATCTTCATCCACTGGTCAAAATACATCAATAAGCTCTTCTGCTTCTCCTCCATCAAAATCCAGTGAAGCCCTGACTCATACCACCATGTTGACATTTGCATCTACAAGTACAGCAGCTCAATCTAGTACAATATCAATGACAATTGAGAAAACAACTACTAGTACTGCACAAACAATTCCAACAACAAGTCCATCACCCTTTGTTGCTATATCTGCCCCACCAAACTCCACCATGACAAAATCAACTCCTTCATCCTCTACATCATCAATTCCGTTAACTTCAGCTTCTACCAAAACAATACCATCTTCAGGTTCAACCACAATTACTGCACCCCCAGGACCCACCATAGCATTATCTATAAACACATCTTCTGCTACTTTATCTCCCCTACCAGGTTCTACCATGACAAAATTTACAACTTCATACTCTAAAACAATAAATACCACTGTAACCTCAAAAAGAAATCTACAAACATTCATTCTATCAACTAAAATTAGTATACTACCCAAATCTAACACAACAATACCATCATCTTCTATTACTTCAACTGCCCCACCAGAATCTACCTTGACAAAATCTCCATCTTCTACATCATCAATTTATTTATCCTCAGCTTTTACAAGTCCAATATCTTCAGCCTCAACCACAAACATGACACCCCCAGAACCTACCACAACAGTGCCTATAAATGTATCTTCTGATCCTATAACTCCCCTACCAGATGTTAGCTTGAGAAAATCTACAACTTCATCTCTTAAATCAATGCCATTAACTGTAACATCACCTAGAAATAGCCCAATGTCTACTTCATCAATTACTACATCTGCCCTACTAGGCTCTACCTCAGCAAAATCTACTTATTCAATATCTACATCATCAATTTCTTTATCCTCAGCTTCTACAGCAACAAGTCCAACATCTTCAGCCTCAACCACTAACATGACACCTCCAGAACTTACCATAACAGTGCCTATAAATGTATCTTCTGATCCTATGTCTCCCCTTTCAGATTTAACCTTAGCAAAATCTACAAAGCCATCCTCTAAAACAGTACCTGTAACTTCTACTAGAAATGTATTGATATTTACTTCATCAACCACAATCACAACCCCAACAGAATCAACCTCAGCATCAACCTCAGCAGGACCATTACCTTCTATTACTACATCTGCCCCACCAGATTCTAACTCAACAAAATTTACTCCTTCATTGTCTGCATCATCAGTTCATTTATACTCAACTCCCACAACAATACTGACGTCTTCAGCCTCAACCACCAACATGGCACCCCCAGATCCTACTACAACAGTACATATAGCATCTTCTATCACTATATCTCCCCTTCCACATGTTACTTCTAGCACAATGCCTGCAACCTCTACCAGAAATATACCAATATCTACTCCATCAACCGCAATCGCTACAGTAGTAGAATCTACTTCAACTAGACCATTACCCTCTAATACTACATCTGCCCCACTAGTCTCTACCGTGATAAAATATACTCCTTCATTCTCAGCTTCTCCCAAAACAAGACCAACATCTTTAGCCTCTACTGCAATCATTGCACCCCCAGACTCTACCAAAGCAATGCTTCTAACATCATCCTTTGTCACTCCACGTACAGCACCGGACTCTGCCTCAATAATATCTACACTTTCCTCCTCTACACCAATGCCTGTAACTTCAACATCTCTCCCAAACTTACCAACATCAACCACAATACCTTCCATTTTAGTTCCAGTGACATCAATACCTATAACTTCTTCCTCTATCACAATTTCTCCTCTTTCATCCTACACCACAATAATATTTTCACCTTCATCTCCCTCAAACAACTCATTAACTTCAAACAACTCATTAGCCCCTTCTGGGTTACTTTCAACTTCAGTCCCTTCCATAGCAATTCATAGGAGTTCATCCTCTATTACAGTATCAACCCCACATGACTCAATCACAACAACATCTACACCTTCATCCATTACAACTCCTGTAACATCATTGTTTACCATGACAGTTCCAACACAATCATCCTCAATAAAAATGCATTCAACCTCAAGCGCAACTTCATCACCTGTCACAATTGCTACTACTCCATCCTTTATGAAAACAACTGTAACATCAATTTCTGCTAAACCAATATCAATTCCTTTAAAAGATAACCATATGACATCAGCAAGTTCAGCAAGTTTTGAAAATGGTACTATTCCCAAGACTGTTTCTTCAAATACAACTGTAATGCCTACCAATATGACTGAAGCAACCTCAGGACCAAGCATAGGATATCTTACATCATCATATTCCCAAGAATCAACTACACCAATCCCTTCCCCTTCTTTCAAGGAAACCATAATCTTTTTTGCTCATGCACCAAAACTCCAAATCATTAAGCCTATTACATTCTCTTACCCTGTTGTGTCACGTGCCACTATCACAGTACCTCCTTCCAAAGTAGGCAGTTATCACAGGGCAGGCATTTTTTCCATGGGATGCAACAAGACATGTGGCACACTGCCGCTGAAGATGCAAGTCGAAGGGGTTTTCCAACCCTCATACCTTGATCCCAACAGTCCCGTCTACATCGACTTAACCAAGAATGTCACAGAGGAGGTGGGTGATGACATTCTTTAAGAAATTTATTTTTTAGCATTCTTGACATCAGGGGTGGGGAACCTGATTCATGGAGGGCCGGTGTGGGTGCAGGATTTTGTGACGACTTCTCAATCAGCAGTGGGTCCCCAGGACTGGAGTTGAGAAGCACTGTTTTATTATTAGCTGATTGAGAGGTCATCCCAAAAACCTGCACCCACACTGGCCCTCAATGGATCAGGTTCCCCACCCCTGGATTACATATTAATGAATGAAAAAATAATTATGATATTATTTTAGTTAAATATTATATTATTTTATTTATTAAGATAATATTATATATTTTAGTGTGTCAGTTTACATATCTGTGCATATCTGGATGTTTGTATGCAGGTGAGCATAGCCTTTCGTCTGAAATATCCCAACACATTCATTGGCTGCGGAGTTAACAGATTCTGGTGAGCGCTGAGCCAGGCTAAATTATGTCTTTCTTTTATGAATAAAATTTGTTCCTCATTATATTTGATAAATTATTCTGATTTAATTATAAATTAAGTATAAAATTATAAAGTCCATGACATTTTTGTACAACAATCCACAGACATTAAAAGCTTGGGAAACCCTACTTTAATATACAATACTGAATGCACTGTTGTCTTCAATATGTCATTTTTACAATTTGTAAAATTCTCACAGAATGCTATTATCAAGGAATTATGCCATTCACTCTTTTAGTTTGACAGTTAGTGACCAGGGGCCTCATGTATAAATGGTGAGTACACACGAAAATGTTGCGTTCATCCGTTTCCACGCTCACGTCGCGATGTATAAAAACAAAACTTGGTGTACAGCTACGCACATTCTCACGGCAGCTCCAGACATGGCATACGCATGTTTCTGCTTGGTTTTGTAAACGGACGGCACTCAGTGGCAAGTCATTGCTAATGTGTTTTCCCTTTTTAAACTCACAATCATGACGCTAACTTTATCCAATACAACATACATAATTGTATGTTGTTTACAAATGTACGGCACCTGATTTTTAATCAGTTTGTAACAATGAAACGGTGCAGAAAATGACCGAACTATTACAACTACTATGGCAGCTCTTGCGTTATTGGAAGACATAGCTTACGGAAGAATTAGAAGAGAGCGCGTATTCAGGGATCATAGTGATTTCTTGGCCCATGATGATGACTGGCTTCTAAGTCGATTCAGATTTCCAAGAGCAATCCTTTTGGAGCTGTGTGCTGAACTGGGGCCAGCATTACAGAGGCAGACAATGAGATATTGGGCTATACCTGTTCCTTTACAAGTTCTGTCCACTTGCGGGTTCTTAGCCACAGGTGCTCTTCAGTGAGAACTTGCGGACCGATCCAGTATTTCTCAGTCAACACCAAGTCGTGCCATGCCAGCTGTATGGGACGGCATAATCCGCTTGTCACCCAGATATATAAAATTTCCTTACACTGTGGTTGAACAGGCAAAGATTAAAGCCCAATTTGCAGCAATGTCCGGTTTTCCCAATGTAACTGGAGGCGTCGACTGCATGCACATTGCAATAAAGGCACCTTCAGAGAACGAATTTGCTTATGCTTATGTAAATAGAAAGCACTTTCACTCTATTAATGTACAAATTATGTGCGATTCGAACATGCGTCTCATTAATGCATGGGCGTCACCGCCATTAAATCTGAGGGGGACGTGTCCCCCTCACATTTCATAATTATTCGTTTGGATCCCCCCACATTTAACAAAAAATATTAGTTTTATCCCACATTCAAAATGCTTCTGACGCCCCTGCATTAATGTTGTGGCTCGATGGCCTGGCTCAACCCATGATTCGTTCATTCTCAGAAACATTAGTGTTAGAAACAAACTTGAAAATGGGGTGGTACGTGATGGCTGGCTGCTCGGTAAGAAGATTTTTCCCATTTTATAATTCGGCCCAATACTGTAAGCTTTGTTTGATTTAACCATTTGACAACTTAGGGGACAGTGGGTATCCACTGAAGTCGTGGCTTCTCAAGCCGCTCGCAAACCCACAGAATGAACAGGAGCGGCGTTATAATGCTGCCCCCCATTCTTGGTGGACCGCACTATAGGACAGCTTAAAGGCTATTGGCGCTACCTGGACAAGACCAGTGGGCTGTTGCTATACATGCAGTCCGCAAAAAGTGTGTTGCATTGTACACACATGTAGCGTGTTGCATAATCTGGCACAAAATCGTAGCTTTCTGGTATCTGAAGAACTTAGACAAGATGAACCTGACACTGAGCCACCAAATTTTCCGCCAAATGGAACAGCGTTACAACTTCAGTATCACGCAGCGTATCATTTAGATGTTTTAATTCATTGGCAACATCTTACAGCATTCACGATATCTTCTTGTGACTGCAGCACAGCTTCAGTCAGCACACGGCCGGATGGTCGCCTCCCGGTTTCTGAGGCTCGGGAATGTGTGCAGTCAGCGCCCAAAGATGTGCTCGGCACAGCAGCACCATCACCGCCTGTGTCGTCCTCGGCACTGGAGGCACCTCTTGTACTATTGTCTGTAAGAATAAACAAACAGAATAAACGAAAGTAACACCGCATCTGCGCCCTACGTGTTATTCATAAACATGCAAGTAATTCAAACAAGTATGGTACGAGAAAAACTCACCCGCGCTGACATCAGCGTCCCCCTCACCCGATAAAAGTGTGTCCCCAATCATCGCAGCAACTCGTTGCTCAAAGGGTGTGAGACCGGGAATTCCGCGACCTCCTCCTGTTAAGACTGTTACGGTGAGTGGCCGCTCGTTTTTTCACGTCGATTTTAATGTCCGGCCACTTCTTTTTAATTTCGGCCACCGTGCGAATTTCGAAACCAACACTTTTAACTGACTCCGCCACGCTGTGCCACTCCGTCAACTTTCGTTTATTGCTGATGTCACTACTTAAACCACCAAATAATATCACTTTTCTTTTCTCGATTTCTGTTAACATGACCTCCACTTTGCACTCGCTGAAATACTTCTTTTTCCCACGTGGTTTATCCATTGTTGTTTAAGAAAAACGCAGAACAAAGCGGGTATTTATACAGATTTACATATGCAAATATACATCATTATGGGCGGGTCGGGGGGGTGGCTGTGGGCTCGTTCACGTACATAAAATTTCACGCTCATTTGGATTTATAAAGGGAATGTGCGTAGACCTGTGCTTACGCACAGTTTTATGCATCTGGATTTTTTCTTGCTTACGCACATTCCCAGTTTTGTCACCATGTTTTAGTGTGAATTCTACGCACATCGTTATACATGAGGCCCCAGGTATTCTTAATGATGTTGATTCTCAAGCTTTACTTGATAAATCTTCTTTTCACAGGAATGGATCAGTGGGCATTGATATGACTCTTGTGTTCAAAAATACGACTGTCGTGCCCAGTGGCGCTGATGCAGAATCCACACTGGAACAAGCCCTGCATCTGGGCCAGTGTGCACTACAAGTTATATCTGGCAGCATTGTTGCAGGTGGGTCATTATTCCTGTATGCAAATCCTAGGCAAGAGTCTCTACTAAAACTTTTTACAATCCCTTTGCGTTACTGCAACATCATTGCCTATGTGCCTTTTTTATTCCAGGTGAAACAAGTGGAAGCATTACCACCACAAGACAGGCTATTGATGTTTCCCATACTTCAAAACATGAGACTTTTCATCCTGGGGTTTCACAACAACCTATCAGATTGGGTACACTCTCGTGAGTGTATTTGCACAGTTCACAGGAAGGGTGATAAAACATTTGGACCCAATAGCATACCATTTCAAAAACTGAACGTTACACAACACAATAAAGGCTGCCTTGGTTTCAGTTTCCACTTCAATTTTTTGTAGGGGTAGAGGGCACAGTTACAGACATTTACACCTAGACAGAGGTGCCCCAGATTCTGTACACAATATGTAATATATAGTTCAAATGTTTCTTGTTCCCAATTGTTATATAAGACTTTATTTTCTCTTACTTCCCGTAAATGTACCCTGACCCTGATGCCATGTATTTGTATTCTCTCATATTTATGCCAAAAAAGTTTTATTTTATTTCATTTTCTTTTATTCCTCACTGCTGCTTTTGTTATACCTCATGACATCAAATAAACGCACTGTTCCTACTTTTCATTCATCTTTCATGCATACTAACATAAATACAACCCAGTTTTAAAAAAAACGCACCAACACCACATATGAGCGGGCGGAGGGAAGCGTGGGGTCTTTTCACACCCCCGTTCTCTGTTCGCCATCTGGAGCCGGGGGCTGGGGGGGGGCTGGCCGTCCGGTCGGGGTCTGAGCTGGTGGGCTTCTCGGCTGCGGTGGGGTCCGGGGTGGTCTTCTTGTCCCCATGCCAGAGGAAAAAAGGGATCCATCTCTGGGGTCTGGTGTTGGATTGCCCCTCTGGGGGTGGTGGTGCCTGGATCTCGGAGTATAGAGTATATATGGGGAGTGTGAGTGTGTGTACGGTGAATATTTGTTTATGTGCGCATGAGGGTGGGAACGTATGCTTGTGTATGTGTACGCCTGTTTGTCTATACGCATGTGTCAGGTTGGGTCTTAGACTCCACCTGAAATAACATCTCAGGCTCTATTGCCCCCCGCCACACTCCCTGCTGGTGGATGAGGCCCCCGGCTGCCGATGCGTTGGTGGTTCTCGATGTCCGGGGCTGGATGCTCTGGTGTGTGCTGGCTCACTCTCGGCGGTTGCCTGTCGGGGCCTGGTCCTTCCGGCTCTGTCGAGTCCCGGCTGGGGGGTGGGGCCCTTGGACCTCTGGGCCCGGGGTCCGGTCTGCCCTGGTGTGGCCGGCCGCCGACGGAGCCTGCGTGCTCGCTGCCACGGCCCCCTGGGGCTCCTGCGATGTGGCTGCCGGATGCCCCCCCTCCGGAGCGCTCCTCTGCCCTTTTCTGGGTGGGGGCTGCAGTTGTCCCTGCGGTGGTCCTCCTGGGGTTCCCGTGCCCTGGGGGGCCTCTGGATGTCTGGGGCCCGGGTCTCCTCCGTGTCGACTTCATGTCCTGGGTGGGCGGGGCTGTGGCTCCCCACACACACTACTAGACATTTACATGGAGAAACCTTAGGAACACCAGCGCGCTGACACACAGGTGCTCACGGACACGTGCTCACGGACACACACTGTCTTGATCGGCTGTTGCTTCTGGGCATGTGTTGTAATGCTGGTTGTGTGTGTGCTGTTCAACAACATTTAACGTTTGATGGTCGTTGTGATTAGTACAGATGTTGTATGTTGTCTTTCTCTTTTCAGCAGACATGGAAGCAGATTATCTGTTTTGTTTTTTTCTTTTCTCCCTTTTTTTTTTCTCTTTTCCTCTCTCTCCCTCTCTCCCTCTTCCCCCCTTCTTCTCCTTTGTTTCCCCCCTCCTCCCTCTCCTTCTTTTGAGGAAGTAAATAAAAATATAAAATAAGTAAATAAATGATAAAATAAATAAATAAATACAAATAAAGTAGTCCTCCACAGAGGGGGGGTGGAGGAGGGAATATAAAAAAAAAAAAAGAAACTGAGAAATTTTTATTGTTTTATGACAAATATATGCTGATGTCAGCAACATGTTTCAAAACGTTGGGACGGGGGCATGTTTACCACCGTGTTACATCTCCTCTTCTTTTAACAACACTCTGTAAATGTTTGGGAACTGAGGACACCAGTTGCTGGAATTTTGAAAGTGAAATGTTTTCCCATTCTTGCCTGATATAGGATTTAGACTGATATAGGATTTAGTTCTGGGTCTCCTATGTCATATTTTTCATTTCATGATGCACCAAATGTTTTCAATGGGTGAAGGATCTGGACTACAGGCAGGCTAGTCTAGCACCCGGGCTTTTCCACTATGGAGCCATGCTCTCATAATACACACAGAATGCAGTTTGTCATTGTCTTGCTGAAACATACAATGCCTTCTCAGAAAAAGATGTTGGATGGCAGCATATGTTGCCCAGAAACCTGTATATATCTTTCAGCATTACTGGTGCCTTCCCAGATGTGCAGGCTACCCAAGCCATGGGCACTAATGCACCTCCATCATGGATTCTGGCTTTTGAACTGACTACTGATAACAAGCTGGACGGTCCCTCTCCTCTTTAGCCCGGTGGAAGAGGCATCCATAATTTCCCAAAAGAACTTGAAATTTTGATTCATCAGTCCAGAGGACTGTTTTCCATTTTGCCTCAGTCCATCTTAAATGAGCTTGGGCCCTGAGCTCGGGCATTTGTGGATGCAGAGAAAAAATTGTTTCAACATTTGATATGTTGTCTTTGTTCTATTTTCAATTAAATATGAGTTTATATGATTTGTAAATCGTTGCATTCTGTTTTTATTTACACTTTACACAGCATCCCAACTTTTTTGGAAACGGGGTTGTACAGATATCAAAGGTAAGATTCTCATCCATTTGATTACAATGAATTTCCTGGAGCTTCATTGTAGATAACAGAGTTTGATTAATCTGTAAATTTTGTTTTTGACATAATGTGATTAGAATAAAGAGAATTCTGCTATGACGATATAGTTGTCTTTCAAAGGCAAGTACTTCTCAAAATCAGAATTAAAGACTCATTCATGATTCTTACTGAATGGTGCAATTTAAAGGAAATGCCTATTTATTCAATGGACAACTATCAAAAGAAAGTATTCATGATGGAAATGTACATATGACTGAAAATGTTCCTGCTCATTTAAATTTTTGAAACATATAATGAAAGTAACATTGAATAAATAAATTAATTAAAATTTAGTTCTTTGTTGTACAACTGACTGTCAATGAATAATATTTATTCATTCTTGAATTGCTAATCCATTTTGATGTTTAACTGTCAGATTTTCATTTAATAGCATTGCTCAGTCTGTTGATACATAGTATGCTTGCATTGCTGTGGAGCTGACTTAGCCACTGCAGAAACTGTAAAACTGTTGTTTTTGGAGAAGAAGGTGTCTGCAATATATTTTAATATCTTCACCATTAAAATAAATGAGAAGCTATATTCTTCTGAATGCAAATAGCAGGTATTGCTGTTCAAAAAAAGCTAGGAAAAAAAGAAGGTACAACAAGAATGTAATTGTGTCACCGCAGAAAGATTCAAACAACTAATTCGGCCATCTGTGGCCCGTACTACGAAGCGGGGTTACTAGCTTATCGGGGTAACTTGTCGGATTTAAGGTACCACAGTTTAAATGGTCATCGTATTCGTTCACTTACATTTCGCCCAGACTTCCTTAAATCCGACAAGTTACCCCGATAAGCCAGTAATCCAGATTCGTAGTACAGGCCCCTGGACAAACAGCAACAACAAACAAGCCTTGGATCCTCACAAAGGGGAAAATGATAGATTTCAGCATCTCACAATGCAAGTATGACGTCTTGTACTGGAAGAATTTTACCACAGTAAAATACCAACCCAATCTGCTGACACTACCCTGCACCTTGAGCACATAGGGATGTTTCAAGACCCTACTTAAGAGAAATACTTTTCATCAGATGATGCACGGAATAATCGTTTTATTCTTTTTAAATAATTTTTGTTTGCTGTCTCACCAGAAGATTTTTAAAATACCAAGACCAGACATTTCTATAAGGATATCTACTTCCTGAACTTCCTGAGCAAGTGCTATTCTTCACATTGGTCATTTGGTGAATTAAAATCCCAGAAATCTTAAAAATATATAAAAAATAAAATTATGGTTAACTATATTGTCAATATAATGATGATAACATATAACAATAAAACACAGAAATTGTCACGCCCAGCTCCGTCCGATCCTAATGTGTGCCACGCCCACCTCGTTACCTCCTGTTTCTGCCTGATTGTTCTCACCTGTTGCTCGTTACCCTTAGCTTGTCTTGTGTATTTAGTCCTCGTCTGAGTCAGTCTTCCCGAGACTTGTCAGTAATGTTTGCTGATGTTTGCTGTCGTGCTTCCCCGGTCCTGTTTGCTAAATAAACCTCGTTCACCCGTCAGTCCGGCTGCTCTCGCCTGCTTGCCGGTTCGCCTGTTCCCGTAACGTGACAGAAATAACATACATTCAGTTGAATTTTCAAAAATAGGGATACAAGCAACTGAATGACAACTAGGAAGAAGTAAGACAGTCTGGACATTTCCTATAATCTTTCACTGGGAACAGACTTTAGCTTTTTTGCAGTAAAGTCTCAGTCTTGCATTAGGATAATTTGCTGAGGGTCAACGATGGTTTTAACAAAAGAAAGAATGCTGAAAACCAGAAACCTGCCTTTCACGTCACATGGGTTTGATTTCAAAAGAATTTGGCGTGCAGTGAAGCATTCTCTATCTGACGCAGCAATCACCTAAATGACACTGGATGCCAGTTTGACTTTACAGAACTGACGTGCAGAGAAATATCACACAATCCCGTGCTCCCCCTGACGCAGTGACCTTATGAAAGGGAACAAATGACGTTACGGTATACGTAACATAAGGATAATAACAATAAAAACAACAGAATAAGAACAACAACAACAACAACAACAATAAAAATAATAGTGGTGGGTTGGCGTACCATCCTGGATTATTCCCTGCTTTGTGCCTGTAGTTTCTGGGATAGGCTCCGCCCCCCAACCTTGCATAGAACAAGAGGATATAGGAAATGGTTGGACGATGATTAATAATAATAATAATAATAGAGGCTCATTTGTGATTCCAATAGTGAGTTTTATTTTAATAACTAAGACAATCTTGTTTAAAAGCTGTTTTACAAGAGATTTTTTATCACTTTCACTGAAAAAACAGCATATTACCATTGAAACAAAATATTTCCTATAATTAAGCATGTTTACATTTTACTTACATTTTTTTTTTAGCAATTTTACATCTACACTATACTGCCAAAAGTATTGGGACTCCCCTCCAAATCACTGAAGTCAGGGGTTCCAATCATTTCCATAGTCACAGCTGTATAAAATTAAGCACCTAGGCATGCAGACTGCTTCGACAAACATTTGCGAAAGAATGGGTCGCTCTCAGGCGCTCAGTGAATTCAAGCATGGTACCGTGATAGGATGCCACCAGTGCAATAAGTCCATCTGTGAAATTTCCTCGCTACTAAATAGTTCATGGTCAACGGTTAGTGGTATTATGACAACGTGAAAGTAATTGGGAACAACAGCACCTCAGCCGCAAAGTGGTAGGCCACGTGACATCACAGAGCGGGGACAACGCATGCTGAGGTGCACAGTGTGCAGAAGTCACCAACTGTCTGCAGAGTCAATAGCTACAGACCTCCAAACTTTGTGTGACCTTCAGATTTGCTCAAGAACAGTGCATAGAAAACTTCATGGAATGGGTTTCCATGACCAAGCAACTGCATCCAAGTCTTACATCACCAAGTGCAATGCAAAGCGTCGGATGCAGTGGTGTAAAGCACGCCACCACTGGACTCTAGAGCAGTAGAGACATGTTCTCTGGAGTGACAAATCACGCTTTTCTGTCTGGCAATCTGATGGACGAGTCTGGGTTTGGCGATTGCCAGGAGAACGGTACTTGCCTGACTGTATCGTGTCAAGTGTAAAGTTTGGTGGAGGGGGGATTATGGTGTAGTGTAGTTTTTCAGGGGTTGGGCTTGACCACTTAGTTCCAGTGAAAGGAACTCTTAATGCTGTAGCATTCAAAGCCATTTTGGACAATTTCATGCTCCCAACTTTGTGGGAACAGTTTGGGGATGGCCCCTTCCTGTTCCAACATGACTATGCACCAGTGCACAAAACAACGTCCATAAAGACATGGATGAGTGAGTCTGGTGTGGAGGAACTTGACTAGCCTGCACAGAGCCCTGACCTCAACCTGACAGAACATGTTCGGGATGAATGTGAGCCAGGCCTTCTCGTCCAACATCAGTGCCTGACCTCACAAATGCTCTCCAGGAAGAATAATTCACATAAACACACTCCTAAACGTTGTGGACAGCCTTCCTTGAAGAGTTGAAGCTGTTATAACTGCAAAGGATGGGACAACTCCATATTAAACCTTATGTATTAAGAATGGGATGTCATTAAAGTTCATGTGTGTATATGCAGGTGTCCCAATGTGTTTGGCAATATAGTGCAGTTAGTTTCATTCCTTACAGTGATTTACTCACAGAAAGAAATCCAGACATAAGTAATGAACACAAATTAATTTAGCATAACATATCCACTAGCATAGCTAACTATAATAAAGCCTTTCATTAATCAAGGAATAAATTAATTTTCTAACCATGCAAGTTCACCATTATAATAGTGAAACTGTGAATTCCACTGAGAAAAGGGACATAATAATAATAATAAGCAAGGAGATGAAGAAGAATTTTCATATTATTATTTATTACTAATAAAACAGATTTTTATTCCTTATTTTAAAGAAATATATTTAAATCATACATTTCAACCTATTTTAAACATTTTGTTGGGGATCAAAACTCTTATCGAAGATCAAAGTTTCTTGGTCATACTTATTTATAACCGTGTAGCGCACTCGCTCGTCATGATAGCATCGGAAATCATTCAACAGAGTGTTTTCAAGGTTGAACCAAAAATAATAAAACGATACCACCACCATTCATAACACAAAGCACACAAAGACATAAAAATGAAGGGAGTGACTTCCACAGTGAAATATGTGCTTTTACAAGAAAGAAAAAAAAGGACGTCACCCCTGGTTACTTATAAAATGAGGGAGAGTTTGCTTTGTGACATGCCACTCACAGGGCTACACATATACATGTGAACAGGTGGACTTACATACGCATGTAACAGAAGATTAAAGATTAACTGACACGTTAACAAGGTAAGTGTGAAAGCTGGTAATTACAGGATGAACACAAAGAATTTATTCATTTCTGTTTCCCAGTGATTGTTTTCATTATAACAATCTACAACATTAGGTCTATATGACATACTTTCATGCATCCATGCAGCTATTAATGCTGCTTAAAATGAAATTGAGTCACTGGTAAGTATTTCTGATTTAATGAACTTTTAATTAATGGCTGTATTTTTAAATTATAAAAATGAACCATGTTTTTTTTTTCCATGTGAACTAAATATATTGAGTAAATATAAAAATATGGCTATTTCTGCGGTCACAGAACAGTTACAATTTCAATGAATCATGAAAAATGTGTCATTAAACATATTAAATGTTAGATTTAGGGACAATGTCAGCCTTCTTGGACTTGATAGACTTATTTTTCTTTGTATATTAGAACTAGTTTCATAAAATAATTAATGAATACTGGATTCATAACTGAAAATAAGCTGGTATCAAAGTATTGCATAAAGCCTTGATGTGATTGTGTTAAAAGGTTACTGTGACTTCCCATAAGATAAACCAATTGACTTTATGGCAGTGTACTCATGTGTGGGTTTGTAAATGCAGTTTGTAGTCACTAAACTAGGAAAACCTGCTTATTAACACAAATACGTTGCTTCTACAAACATCAAATCATGAGGCTACAGCTAAATACATACAGCATGTAGGCAGGGTGATGTGATTCGGTTATTGTATTACTAAGCATTTGAATGGTTAGACGCATTATCTAAAGTGACTTTAAACATGTTGTGAATTCTGGTACCAGGCATGGTGGTTCCAGCATCTCAGAAACAGCTACAATCAGTGTTTCCTGCACTACAGTATCTGGAATTTTCAGAGACTGGTATAAAAATAATTGCTTGGTGATGCAACCATGGTGTGTAAAAAACTTATCTAGCCTTAAACTGTTTGTCAGACAGGGGCTTCTACCTGGTATTACGTATGTGGTGCTATTAATCAGCCATTCAGACTACCTATGTATATCAATTCAAAATGAGAAGCACAACTGACATGTGAACTGTGATGTACTGTGATGTACTGGCATTTTACACATAGTTCTCCATGTCTTATTCCTTGTATATTGCAAAAATAATCAGTTATTGAGAAGCAGTACATGTTCAACTAAATTAACAACTATAATATTGCTGGCTTTGTAAAGGTTCTGTTGAAGTTAAGCCATATAAAGAACATTAATTGTGTTAAGTAAAATTAAGTATTGTCATGTATCAGGAAGGACAGAAATGAAGGCAGACGTGGGGAAAAGCAAAGGGGGCTTTATTTAAATAAAACACAAGAAGTAGGGCAATAGGAAAAGGACAATGAGCAGTCAAAATGGGGAGGGGTCAATCAGGAGAGAAGATAGGGTACAGGGCAGACTGGGGAGTGCAGGCAGGTAGCAATATCACACACTTAGCCATACAATGACTGGACTGGGGAGCTCAGGACGAGGAGACACTACAGACACCACAGATGAGGAAGCAGACGAGAGGCACCTGGGATCATCCACACGAGGACTGAAATGAGAGGCACCTGGGATCATCCACACGAGGGCTGAAACGAGAGGCACCTGGGATCATCCACACGAGGGCTGTAACGAGAGGCGGGGTTAAACGACGAACAGGTGTGGCTCGTTAGTGCCACACCACGGGGAACATGGGGGAAAAAGGCATAAAGGTATACTATGACTGCATTTACAGTTATGCGTACGTCATTATTACTTAATTCATTACCTTTTCTCTTCTTCAGAATGTTTTCCAGAAACAAAACTAACCAACCAACCAGAACAATGTTAATTTTATTGTGTTTCTTGACTGGTGAGTTATCCATCAGATATTACTATAATCATCCAACTGAATTTGGACTGTATATTAACTGTTATTCAAACACTCTATATTTTACTTTAACAGCTGCATCATTGGCAGTAACTGCTACCAATGCCACTGTTACTTCAGACACGACTGTAGACACTGTTACAACAGAATCTGCCACATTGACTGTTGAAGATCTGACAACTACTGGGGATACCTCTGTATCAGCTGAAACCAGCATTCCTGCAACAACTCCAACTGAAGATGCAAACACCATGGATATAGTAACTACAGACAATACAACACCACTGAATAATGATTCCAGTGTATCAGAATCCACAACATCCTTTTCAACAGATATCCCCTCTACAACAAAAAATGAAGTCGTTACTACAACAGAAACTGAGAATAACAGTACCCCAGAAACTGAAGGTACTACTGCAGGTGTGTTGGAAACTTCAGTTCCAAATACCTCAACTTCAAAAGAAGCAAAAGACTCTGATGATCAAACCACATCAGCAACTCATATCACAACAACAGAGGAATCAGAATCTCCAACTTCAACCTTCACAGATACCCCAACTTCAACAGAAGCTGAACACTCAACAATAGCAATCACTGAGGACCATTCTACATCAATAACTGACATCACAACAACAGATATATCGGAATCCTCAACTTCAGCCTTTACATTTACTCCAACTTTACCAGAAATTGAAGTCTCAACAACACCACTCACTGAAGACCAAACTACATCAGTAAGTGAAATCACAACCACTGGGGTATCTCAATCTCCAACTTCAGCCTTCACAGATACCAAAACTTCAACAGAAGCTGAAAGGTCAACAACACTAGTCACTGAAGACCAAACTGCATCAGTAACTGAAAACACAAAAACAGGTATATCAGAATCCCCAACTTCAGCATTTACAGATGCTCCAACTTTACCAAAAATTGAAGTCTCAATAACACCACTCACTGAAGACCAAACTACATCAGTAAGTGAAATCACAACCACTGGGGTATCTCAATCTCCAACTTCAGCCTTCACAGATACCAAAACTTCAACAGAAGCTGAAAGGTCAACAACACCAGTCATTGAAGACCAAACTACATCAGTAACTGAAATCACAACCACTGGGGCATCTCAATCTCCAACTTCAGCCTTCGCAGATACCATAACTTCAACAGAAGCTGAAAGCTCAACAACACCAGTCATTGAAGACCAAACTACATCAGTAACTGAAATCACAACAACAGGTATATCAGAATCCCCAATTTCAGCCTTCA